TGCCCACACAAAGATGGCGACGTCCAGGACCTAGGTCCGGGCACAAAATGAAGATAAAAAAAATAGGCTTAGGGACATTTGGGGGAAACTAGGGGGGCAATTAGATGTAGTGGAGTAGGGGAGGTGGGTTTAAAAAAAACCAACTGGATTCGGACATGACAATGCCGCTTTAACAACTATTGTTTGATGTATGTATGTATATATATATATATATATATATATATATATGTGTGTGTGTTTTAAAGAGAATAGGGAGACACAGATACAATATTTAAGTGGTTGTTGAAGCGCCTATACACCTGCTGTTTTACAGTATACTTTTTGTGTAGTTTATGTTGTTCCGAGTAGAGGAAGATAATTTTAGCTTGCGTGTTCTTATTTTTTAGTTTATTCTCTATTCGCTTTGTTACCTTGCATATGAAATTTGAATTTTAGCTATCGCATGTGTTTTTCCGTTGTCAGCAGTACAGGGAGTCTAATTTATTTCTTATTTTCTCTAGTCTCCTGGTTAATTTCTGAGATGGGTTAAGTTTATTTTTAGCTTTAAAATTAATTAAAATAATTTTTCTCTTTAGTCAAGCGAGCGTCAGTGTCAGTCATTTTCTGTTTTTTACGGGAACCTAGCTGAATGAACACTCCTCTTATTACAGCCCTTTGGGCTAACCACTGGGAAGTCAGTGATGACTGACATGGTGCGTAATCTGACCAAGATCATGAACCTATTGAAATTTCAGCTGTATTGGTTAAGGAGGATTTGTCCACACATAGATCTATGCGCAAGTAGGTAAGGTTAGCTTGAGAGAAAAAAGTGTAGCCTTTCCCTGTTGGGTATTTGCAACACCATGAGTCGTATAGATCATGTGTATGTAGTAAGTTGGACAATGAACGGCTAGTCGAGACAGCTATTGGAAGGGGGCGTTTGTCACCTTCCCTTTTCATGTCTATGTCATGATCCAGTGTACAGTTAAAATCGCCACAATTATTGTGTGGCCCTGTTTAAGGGAGGATATTTACTAAAAGGACTTATGCAGGAAAGGGATTTGTGAATCATTGGGGGCATAGAGAGACACTATAGTAATGAGAATCCCATTAAAAGTTCCTACCAATATCAGTAAACAATCCAATTCATCTGTGCATTGTTTGTTCAGGTGGAAGGCCCAATCCGAGCCAAAGAAAACAGAAACTCCTTTCGATTTGTGAGGAGTGTATGTGTGAAAAAGCATATGGATATATTTTAGTTTGCAGGTTGGGTGGTTTGCGTTTACAGAAATGGATTCCTTGAAAGCAGACAACCGTAGTTTTGGATCTGTGCATTTCTTGTATAGTAAGCCGCCGTTTGTGTGTGCTGTTAAGTACTTTAACATTTAATGAGAGGATTTTAAATATAGGGTCAGTCATTTGTATATGGTGTGTGGTGCAGCTCCATTGTTTTATGGCTCAATGCATGTCTCCAAATGGCTCCTGGGGCTTGGGGGCTTCCAGACGAGGTGAATAGTGGAGGGTACAGCAAATTTTGGTGACCAAAGTACCTATTACACTTTAAGCTGAGCTGGTTTGGTTTAGAGATGCCAAACCAAAGATCCTATGATTGTAGAACACAATGTGGACCAGATGGGACATTATCCTTAGGGGAAAATAAAAATAGAGGGAAAACAAACAAAATACCCAATAAAGTATATACAAAGAATCAGTGCATGGTATGCACAGAAAGTGACCAAAGTAGGAGCATTCCACAAAGCGATGGGAGGTCGCCGATATGTATGCCGTAGTATAGGTGGGAGACAGAATTTGCTCTAGCCAAGTAACTAGAGGATTAGTTAGGGAGAGTATGATGACTGTGGCATGACACATAATTTAACAACAAGATATTTGTGGGTAGGTAGGCATGAGACTATATATGTGGTTGATCAAGAGTATACAGCTGTATACATGCAGCTCATAGAACTTAAAATACAGACATTTAAGTATAAGAAAGATACATAATAAGAGCAATGGTGGGAGGGGCAACCCGTATATCAAATATCTCCAATTTAGGCAACGGTAGCAGATTATGACTGGGTCTGTGGTCAGCAGTCTATATACATGAAAGGAAAAACTTAGATTTAGAACAAAGTTTTTTTTTTTTTGTTTTTTCCCCTAAGTGGAATCAGTCTGTCTCTAACTGCAGATGGCCTTTTAAGGGAAAGACATAGGTCTCTCTTTGAACTCTAATATATCAGGATGGTAATTCGATAGATATGTTTGTCTATGATTTGTTTAATTTTTGAGGAAAGTGTTCCATACTAAGATACAAACTTAACTCTTTTATCAGGAGCTTGTCTGCTTTTTAGACCTAGCAGATCCTGTTTGTTTACATACTTCACTTGGATTACTTGTTTTTCAAGCAACGTATGTTGATAACCTTGTTCTCTGAATCTGTCAGTCATTTCATTTAAATGTCCATCTAGAGTATCGGTCTTAGAGACAAGTCTTTTGACTTGCACGTATTGACTTTTGGGCAGAGCTTTAAAGATAGACGGAGGAAGCTGGTGTAAGGCAACACATTATACCAAAATATCCAAGAATGGTATGCTTTTTGTATCAACCACCATGGTAAATGTTATGGTTTCAGAGCAACCATTCAGGAAAACAAAAGGGATTCAAGGAATTCCAATGTGCCCCTCCACAACACCTGCATGTCATCAATGTAACACCACCTCCTGGTGGCATGTTCTTTAAATGGTGCATTTTTGTAAATGATGCTTTCTTCATGTTGTGACATGAAAAGTCTGGCATATGTTGGGGCCACATTGGAACCTATTGAAGTGCCTTTAAGTTGTAGAAAAAGATTCTCCTGGAATAAGAAGTAATTATCTTTAATTACCAAAGAAAGTAATTGTAATAAAAATTCAAGTACCATATCTCAGTAGCCAAGCTGAATCAGAGCTTCTTTTGTAGCTGATAAACCTTCATCATGTGTGATGGAGGTGTACAAGCTGTTGATATCAAAAGTGACTAACAGATTATCAACTTCACTAATTTCATCCAATTTTTGTAAAACTTCCATGGTATCTTTTTACATACGATTCACCAATCTTACAGATATATTTACAACATTTGATTCCACCATGGAAAAGGTGGGTTTTTGAAAAATACCTTTAATCTCAAATTACAAAAGAACCTATACAAGTCCAAATCAAACTCTACATGTTTGTGAGTATGTTTTGGGCATAATGTCAAACCTGTGGATAGTACTGCCTGTTCATCATCCAACAAGTCTTTGGAAGACAGATTAATTATTAAATTGTCCTGCGTTTCTGTGCAGCTTGTCGTCACTTGTTCAGCCACAGTGATGACAATGTCCTTCCTCTTGTAACCACTTCTTCCAATTCTCCTGTTCTTTTTTCGCTGGTCACCCCCTCTGATGGGGGATCTCTCTTAACAAAGAAATGGAGCTTGACAAAGACTCTATTTTGTGTTGAAACATTGCAGTGTTCCACATGTCCAAATAAACATGCCTGATGTTATTGGAGTGCTTGGACCATCTCTCTATTACTGGTATTCAAACTAGATCTAATCAGTCAGTCACTATTCTTTGTTTATATGCAGTACCAGATTCTTTTTTTTTCAGATACTTGTGATTTGATACTAGTTTTAGTTCACTCTGGTACATAAAACTCACTTGCTGGCAAAGCTGGTGAATCATCTCACAAGTTTATTTACTAAATGCCAGTTTATAAAACATTTCCCCCTGTCCTATATACATAACTTGCAAGTGACCCTAATTTAGAGGGGCAGTCCCTATTTTTGGTCCAAATCTCACTGTCCCTCATTTCGATCATAATATCACTCTTTTCTAGGAGATTCCTACTGTTAGTGTATATGAGTGTATAACAGAGCTCCACAGCAAAAAACCTCACAGAAAACAAAAGTCTTTAATAAAAGTGTTTAGAAATCAGTGTGTAAATAAGATACATTGCCCTTTATATGAATTACATTTTAGTTGCATAAATTGGCACCTAATTATTTCTCAGCACAGCTTCCTCCCCTAGCCAAACCCCTGCTCACAGCTCCTAAAATAAGCGTCCCTCTTTATCGATTTGAAATGCTGAGCGTTATCTATCCATAGATACACACACACAGAATTACAGTATGTTATGAGATAATTTTAAAAATATATAAATCTAACACAGCACTCTGTTGACTGTAGTGGTGCAAGTTTCTCAGAACTTTACCAAATATCAGCTCCAATACAAATAAAAGCAGGAAAATTTGCTATTTTAGAATGTGAACACAATATTAATTGAAGTAAAAAAGCAAACCGATAAAATGAAACACAGTAGAGTTTAGGAAATATTATCTATATCTGATTTTGTACAATGACACAACAATGTGTAATATTTCTCTAAAAATATAAATAGTTTGTATGCACTGTAGAATTCAAACTTTCTTTCAAATAGTTTTTATTAATACTTTTTTCAATAACAATACAAAGGAGAAAAAAAATATGGCAAAAAAAATGGGGGTATACAATGAATATCATGCAATAAAATGTTTTAAGTGTATATCAAAGCAGTACTATAATAGTAATATATAACTGTGGTAAAAATAAAATGTCATATGTGTCTTAAAAGGTTGGTATTTTATTAAAGAATACAATCAAAATAATGATATTTTACTAAGTGGTCTGGTGCAGGTATGAAAAACTTATAGGCCATAACGCCCCTGACGCCCTCTTCCCAGAGTGTCCATTTATGTTTCAGTAAGGCTACAGCAGCAGAAGGTGTCCTAAAAGCCAACTCACATCTCTTTGTTTCAAAAATATTGCGCAATACTTCAGTCATAAATGGAATGGTATCAGACTTCCAATACCAAGGGGTAACTGTAGTTGCTGAAACCAAGAGATGAGTCAAAATAATTTATGTAGACTTGGACAAATCGTCTGGAAGTTTATTTAGGAGACACAATTCTGGTGTAATAGCATAAACCTGATATGTAATAATGTGTATTAGTGTTGTTACAGTAGGTGTTCAGCTAAGGACAGGACCAAAAGATGTTAAATAGTGTACGTACCTGCCTGCACTTCCTCAAACATGTATCAGCTCTAGACAATGTTGTTTAAAGAGACAGGAGTTAGATACCATTTATAATGAGATTCCAAAAACACCACAGACTATGTTATTCCCTGTAGTGTCAATAGAAGCCCATGCCACTCATCAACACTGTACTCCTTGTTCAGTTCCATTTCCCATCCTGTTGTATAGTCTAATATTGGGCCAAATTCCCCAGAAAAATAGGCATAGCACATAGAGAGTGTTTTTCTGGTCAGGATCCGAGAGATACATTGTTTCTAGAGTAGACATGTCAATTTTGTGGTCCTCCAGCACCCTATCAGAAACATTAAGATGTTCACTAATGGAATCAACCATCTGTCTATTTACAGGAGCCACAGGGGCACCCAGACCAAAATTGGCCTGTAACTGGTCAAAAAATAAAAAAGAATTAGACAGAAATAAATCATTAATACATATGACAGAATGGGAAAGCCAATATTCCATGTCCAGATCAGGTTGCAACACAAGGGGGTAGCTCTGGACCCAGTAGTAGAAGGGTTTATCTTTTTATATATAACACATCCCAAGCCTGAATAGTGGCTTTGCTAGTTTAAAACATGTTCACCACCCATGGTTGCCGAGCAGGAGGCAACCGTAACACATCTTTGATGAGAGTAGGTAAAATTTTTATAGCCTCCATCTTGAGTCACAGGGGACGACCATGCTCCAAGTTGAATTTAAGTGCCATAGCCTCTAAATAATGTTCTCCCTTCTATTTTTCACTTTTACACTAACTTCACTCATTACTAAAATATCCCTATCCTTCTGCTCACCTGTCCCTATCAACACTATCTTCATTACTTCCACTTTACTCCCCTCCCCTCTCCATTTATCCCATGCACTCTACATATTCCTATCCAGCCTAACTCCTCTAACACCTCCCAAATCCTCTATTTACATACCCAAGTACAAAACTTTCAAATCCTTCTCCCACCTTCAATTCCTTTTTATCCTTCTGCTCTGAGCAGCTGGCGATGTCTCTCCAAACCCAGGTCCCATCTCGGCAAACTCACCACGTACTAACTCAAGGAACCACACCAATCTTATACCCATCTCATGTTACTCTTCCTCTAAATCCTCCTTCAATACTGTCTTCTGGAATGCACGCTCTGTATGCAATATTAAAAAATCCACTGCTGTCCACGACTTCTCCATCTCTTGTTCCCTAGATTTACTAGCCTTAACAGAAACATGGCTCTCCCCCTCTGACACTGCTACCCCTGCATCTTTGTCCTTTGGTGGTCTTCAACTTACCCACAACCCAAGACACTCTGAATGTAAAGGTGGTGGTTTCTCCTCTCACCTCCTTCAAACCTCTACCCACCCCCCCTTCCCTCTCTTTCCCATCATTCGAAATTCATTCTATTCACCTTTTCAAGCCCTTCTCTGCTAACATTGCTGTTATTTATCGCCCCCCTGCTTCTCCTCTCCTCTTCCTTGACCACTTTTCTGCCTGGCTACCCTATTTCCTCTCTTCTAATATTCCATCCCTAATTCTCGGGGACTTCAATATTCCCATTAACCCATCTTTGAACTCAGCAGCCTCTAAACTACTTTCAATTACTTCCTTCCTCGGGCTATCGCAGTGGGCTAATTCTCCCACACATGTAGCTGCAATACCCTCATCTTCTTTTATGCATGTACAGTATCTAATATGCGCAACACTCCATTTCCTCTCTCTGATCACCACCTCTTATTGTTTTGCTCTCGAGTACCCCCTCACCCAACAACCTCAGCCTAACCTCCCTCAACTCAGGAGGAACCTTAATTCTATTGACCTCCAGAAGCTGTCAGCTGATATTGATTCACAACTGCTATCCATCCCTTCCTTCTCCTGTTCCTCACTCTCCATCTCCACATATAACACTACCCTCACCTCTGCCTTGAACACTGCAGCTCCGCTCCAAACCTACACCTCGAGGAGGGCATGCCCCCAACCGTAGCATACTAAATCAACACGCTACCTGCAAAGATGCTCCCGTTGTGCTGAACGCTCCTCGAGGAAGTCTCGCACCCAGTCAGACTTTCTCCATTATAGATTCATATTGTGTTCATACAGCACAGCCCTTGCCCTCACCAAACAGTCATACTTCTCCTCTCTCATTAGTTCATGCTCCCGCAATCCCAGGCATCTCTTTGACACCTTTAATTCTCTTCTTCGCCCTGCTATGGCCATCCCCCAAACTAACCTTATAGCCGACAGCTTTGCATGTTATTTTACCGACAAGGTTGAGCAGCTAAGGAAAGAGTTCTCCCCACCTTGCCATTCACTTTCTCAAGCACATGTAGATCATGCCTTTAGTACCCTTCAGACTTTCTCCCCGGCTACAGAACAAGAGGTGGCTGCACTTCTCCTTTCCTCTTACCCACCACTTGCCGCTTGATCCTATCCCATCTAACCTTATCAGAACTCTCTCCCCTTGTCTTGCGCCTTCTTTAATACACATCTTCACCTGCTCTCTATCTTCTGGCGTTATCACTGCTGACCTTAAACATGCCAATGTAGTACCTATTCTGAAAAAAACATCTCTTGACCCGTCCTCCCCCTCTAACTTTCATCCCATATCCCTGCTCCTTTTCTCCTGAAATCTTCTGGAAAGACTTGTCTTTACTCATATGTCTCAGTTCCTCAATTCCAACTCTCTCCTTGACCCTCTTCAATCTTGCTTCCGTCCTCTCCACTCTACTGAGACTGCTCTTATCAAAGTTACTAACGACCTAATCGCCGCTAACTCCAAAGGTCACTAGTCCATACTAATTTTTCTTGACCTCTCTTCTCCCTTTGACACCATTGATCATGCTCTCCTTCTTCAAACTCTTCAATCACTCGGTCTCTGTGACTCTGTCCTCTTGTGGTTTTCCTCTTATCTCTCCCTACGCTCATTCAGCATCTCCTTTTCTAATGATACCAGCTACCCTCGTCCTGTGTCGGTTGGAGTTCCCCAAGGCTCTGTCCTTGGTCCCCTTCTATTTCCTCTTTATACTGCCTCTCTTGGCAATAGACATGTGCAATTAATTTCGGTCTGAATATGAATTCGGACGAATTTCAGGCAATTCGGACATTCGGGTACTTCCGAATGTCCGAATTGCCAAAGTGCCGAATTGCCGAGGTCCCGAAGTTCCAAAATTACCGAATTTCTGAAGTGTCAAAGTGCCAAAGTTCCAAAGTGCTAAGGTGCCAAAGTTGCGAAGTGCTGAAGTTCCGAAGCACAGTATTGCCTAAGAACTAATATACTTACCCAGTGGAAGAATGAAGAATGTTACACTGTATACAATTTTAAATAAAACGTATACAAACATAGCCAGGATTCAGCTGTAAGCATTTGCAACACTTACAACAATTAAGTAACATACATTCATATAAAATGTAAGTTACTTAGCCTGTCAATGTAATGACAGATATGAATAAGTAGATAACTCCCTAATTCCCACGGTATTAGAAAGCTATCTACTAAAAGGCTGAAAGACCTAAATTGGTCTTTCAGCCAAATTTACTAATACTAAGTAAAGATTACTTAGTATTAGCAAATTATGCCCCTACTCGCTATACCGTTAGTAGGGGCATGTCTATTAAATAGTGAGCAGCCTCTCAGAGTATGCATGGTTACCAACAGTGATTGGAAAGAGAACTAATTTCTGATAATATCCACATACATATAAACATCCTAGCCCTAACAACACGCACATAGAATTGAAGTGTAAATAGGTGGAGCGGTGAAATGACAGAAAAACTTTCTCCGCCCCCAACGTATGACATCAACTTGTTTCGCCAGGCGCTGCCGGCTTCCTCAGCATGTAGTGTTGTCACCTCCATCTTAATGAGACATAAATACAATAAACATATCATACAATAATCATAATAAAAAAAGATCCCACAGTCAGAAAACTGTGAGAGTTCTACTAAACTGAGAGCAGCAAAGAAAGAGGAAGTGGTCATCGATGGTCCGCCTTCTATAGGATAAGGATGTCGCTGATTGGATGTTCATATTACTAGGCGGATATTGTCCTTATGATGTTAATACCTGTTCTCAATTAGTTTTTTCTTTGCTGCTGAGGGAATTAAAGAAAGAGTGCAGCATAATAGGAGCCTCTGGGTCTTTAATAAAATCATCCTTATTCGCTAAGAGTAAGTTTATACAGTGTGTGAAAACCTTTATATTCGCTGGGCAAAAAAGTGTATTGCGTCTGGGATTTTTCTTTGACCTGGTACATATTTTAATTTAGTTGCATCAAAATAAAAAACAAAGGAAAAAGTAACTTGCATTTTTCCCCATTAACCATCTCTTTTCTTGGAGCCACAGGTGGAAGTTAGAAATGCCAATCAAAAGAACATGCTTCTCCATTAAGCGAGTCATTTGGTTTGTGATTAGCCAATAAAGCAGTTTGTAAATCGAGAAGTTGGACAATCAGTCAATCGGCCCAAATTTTAACAATTTGCAGTTCTTAATAAAATGAATCTCCAAGTCCATGGAGCATACATATTTATATTGTTTGAGTGAATGCACAACTGGTGATTTTTGAACTCAGAAGGGACAGAGAAATCTGAAATTGCTAACCTGTTGTGGTATTCTTGTAAATATTATATATATTTATATATATATATATATATATATATATATATATATATAATTTTGTTTTTGTCTCTTGTGCTATACTTTTGCTGAGGTGTGTAAATAGTTAAATATCACTAAAAGAAGGATCATACAAAACAGTGATGGCTAGTATAGTTTTAAGACGATATTGTGCCAGATTCCTCATCCTTGAATTCAACTCTAAACCTTAACTCTGTAGCCACCATGTCCGAACTGGTGGAATCTGTCTGTTTAACCACAGGTTCTAAAACTCTAAAAGCTAGTCCCCATAGAAAGAGCTACAAACAATACACATACTCTAAATATAGTATACAGTGTGTGTGTGGGTTTAATGTAAATATTTTCATGCAATACTCAAAGCTATTTACAGTGAAGAGAAACCCATATGATACAAAGAACCCAGTACAAAAAGAAGATACCAATACAATTTACAGATGAGAGCATAATACACAGATACCCATAATATACACAGATATGGACAAAGCACAAACATACCCATAAAAACATACCCATACCCATAGCTGAAATATAGAGATACCTACA